AAGCACAAAATTAGGAAATTAGCTAAAATAAAAGCTGAAATTGGCAACAAAAAAAATTGCAGAAAGTAGCTGAAAATGCAGAAAAAAGCTTAAGCTTCCAGAAGGAAGTGGAAGGAGATGAAATAATCTCCAAGAATGTGGAATTATCTGAGAAAGCTAAATTTAGCCTAAAACAGCTAAATAGTAGTTGAAATAGCAGGAAAAGGCTGAAACTAGCAGAAATAAGCTGAAAGGAGCATAATAAGCTGAAAGTAGCAGAAATGACGATGAAAATCTTAAATTTATCTGAAAACAGCAGAAATTAGCTAAAAATGTTAATAAGGTAGCTGAACAGATAGAACAGGCTTAAATGAGCAGAAAGAGCAGAAGGAACACATGTTTACTGAAAGAAGCAGAATTGAGCACAAAAAGTGAAAAATATCTGGAAAAAGGCTGAAATGAGAAAAAAAACAGCTGAAAAGTAGCTAAAAAAAAGCAGAGTCAGCACAGTTTTGCTGAATTAGGCTGAAAAAACTTGAAATGAGTGCAAAAAATATGGAAATAGCTGAAAATACTAAAATTAGCATGATACAGCTAAATAGTAGCTGAAAAAATATTAAAACTAAAATAAATCAGCTGAAAAGAACATAAGTTGAAATTAATAGAAAGAAGTTGATAAAGCTGAAAATAGCAGAAATGACCATGAAAAACTTGAATTTATCTGAAAACAGCTGAAATTAGCTATAAAAAACAAGCTTAAATTAGCATAACAAAGCAGAAAAAAAACATTTGCCCAGTTAGGTTGAAAGAAGCAGAAATGAGCATATAAAATGCAAATTACCTGGGGGAAAAAATTAAGCTGAAATTAGCAACAAAATTAAAAAAAACTGCTGAAAAGTAGCTAAATAGCAGAAAGAAGCTGAAATTACAAGAAGGTTGTGACGAGAGCATATCTGAGCTGAATTAGGCTAAAAAAGCTGAAATGAGTGCAACAAATGTGGAATTTGCTGAAAAAGCTTAAATTAACATAAAACAGCTAAATAGTAGCTGAAAGAGTAGAAAAAGCTCAAACTTGCATAAATAATCTGAAAAGAGCGTAACAAGCTGAAATTAACAGAAAGAAGTTAGAAAAAGCACAAAAATGTTGTACTTAGAAAGAATCTGAAAGGAGCACAAAACAGCTGAAAAACAGCTGAAATTAGCTGAAAGTAGCTGAAAAAAGTTTAAATTTGCACAAGGAAGCTGAAAGCAGCTGAAGCAGAACAAAATGTGAAAGGATCAGTACAAGGTTGTAAACACATCTAAAGATTTAAAGGATGTAAGATGAGCTCAGTTCATATTCTACGAGAAAGAAAAGGCTAAATGTTTCAAAAAGCTAAAGTTGCACCAATACCAAAAGTCATAGAAGGATTGTCCTGAAAGAGCCGAACGTTTTATGGTTTATTGAAATATCTGAAAACTTAAGGACGAGAATCGCTTCAAAAACATGCAGAAGAAAACCGGATCACAGCGAGTGGATGCGTCATAAACGTGATGTGGCGATAAGTATCGGCGCTTTAACGAAAGAGTTCTGCCGTCAGTCAGAGACACACCGGCTGGAAGACGACGGAAACATCGTCACCGCTCCAGGAGGGGGTTGGACCAAAGCATGCAGACGAGGAGCTTCAAAAGTTAATTCAACAAAAACACGTCCAAACTGCTCCTGGTGCTCACGTGAAGGAAGACGCTGAAGGAAAGAACGGACCGGGGCTGATGGGGCGAGTGGCTGCAGCTGCGACTAATGAAACAGAGAACAGGTGTGAGTGGGCGGGGCAGGACTGAGGGAGCGGGCGCTAACGGCACAAAGGAAACACAAACAACTCATAACACTGACAACAAAACCTTCGTTTCGATGTTTAAACTGTAGAAAAGGTGGAACGTTTGTGAAATGAAGAAATGTTTGTTCGTAAACATTTTGAACATTTCCCGCAGCCCTAAAGCTGATGTGACATCATCGCACTAACCTGAACGTTCTGTGGTAAAGTGTCAAAACGTTCTCCAGCCGAACCCGTTGTTGTTTAAAGCCCGTTGAAGCTCTGGAAACGTTTCTCAGCTGCTCTTCACTAAACGCTCCGTCCCGGATTCGTTGGTCATTTTCTTTTAATTCCCAAAGCTTCTTTTGTTTTTACTCATCTGGAACTCTTTAACTTGACTTCTTATTTTTAGGACGTCCTTTGGGGACATCATGGACGTGTTCCCTCCACGTTTGTCCACAAATGGAAAAATAAATTAAAAAATCCCTAAAATGACAAAAATAACCAAAAGAGAAGTTGTTCCCGTCAAACGGACATGTTGGCCTGATGAACCCTCCTGCTGCCCTGGGATTAAACAGTCCACACAGTGTCAGTGCTAAACCTGAGGCCAAGGGCAGCAGGAGGGTGAAGAGAAAGGTCAAAACAAAGAGACTAAATGACTCAAGGCAGAAACTCTAAACAAAGGTCCGGATTGTTGGAACAATCAGAACCAGATTCTGATCTCAACCCTGATAAACTCCACCCACCCTGAAATCCTGGATTTGCTCGCACGACCTCATCTGCCGAAGCTCGGCTGTGAGTGGGCGAACCAGCTGAAGCTAATTTTTTTTGTCCAAAAACACTTTTTTGTAAGAATTCTGTAAAATGGCTGAGCTGAAGACTGAGATCTGTGGAGGAAACTGAAAAAAACCTCTAAAACAGCTAAACTTTGGACAAAAGCTAAAATTAGCCAAACTATAGCCAAATGCTAAAAATCAGCCAAACTGTGACAAAAACCTAAAATGAGCCAAATTGTAGCCAAAATGTAAATGGTAGCAAAATGTTAATATTAGCAAAACATTAGCTAAAAGCTTAATTTAGGTGAGCTGTAGTTAAATGCTATAGTTAGCAAAACTTTAGCCAATCTGTAAAACTTTAGCTAAAAATTAAAGCCAGCAAAACAGTAGCTGAAAGTTAAAACAAGCTCAGTTGAACTAAATGCTAAAGCAGCTAAATCTAAAACCAACAAACCCTTTTAAAAGTAAAACCACCAAAACCACAGCTAAATGTTAAAATTAACATTGCTACTTAGCAGATAGCATGCTGATTTGTTTTAGCTGAACAATTCAAAGCCCAGCAAGTTCTTCTGTTTCAATTTGTGGTAAACCAGTTTAAACTGAAGGAGCTGAAACTTCTTACTGGACCCAAACAGGAAGTCCTGAGGGTTTCCTGCTGGTTTGGATGGAAGAACATCAGGGTGTCCAGTTGTGGTCCTGGGGGGACACCATCCTGCAGTTTTTACCTGTTTCTCTGCTCCGACATTCAACGGTTGACTCTTCAGGTTTTGCAGAAGCCTGTTCATCATCTGTTGATTCAAAGCAGGTGTGTTGGAGCGGAGGAACGTCTCAAACCTGCAGGATGGTGTCCCTCCAGAACCAGGAGTGGACCAACCCCTACAGAATCTGCTTCCTGAAGGACCGGCAGCTGAATCCTTCAACCAGATGGTGCCGAACCCAAACTGCAGTTTATTACAAGCCGTGGTGAGAAAACTCGTGTTCTGTGGCGTCAGAGGTTCTGATTCGACCCAGTTTGATGGGAAACTCCCGACCCGTTTCCTTCTTTGCATCAACTCTGGAGTTCTTCCTGTTGATATCTGGACCGCTCAGATTCGTCCTGCTGGATGTTCTGGAACAACTTAACCGTTTTTGTTTTGGTTCTCGGGCTCAATGGTGTTCCTCTGAGGAACCTTGTCCCTGGATGAAGGTGGTCGTTATCAGAGCCGCAGAAGAAACTCTGAATAAAAAGAACAATTTAAAAAGACTAAATAAAGAAGCTGTTTAAAAATAAATATGTTGGAAGAGGTTTTATCTTTGGACTTTATTGATAAAATGAAGAACAGTTGAGCTCAGAGTCTCTGCCGCCCCCTGGTGGAACAAGGAGCTACACCAGCACTAACCCAGAAGAACGTTTTTATTTACAGAGCATTTTTAAATATAATAAAACTTCTTATCAACACAAGCAGTTCGTTTTTTATTTTAGTTACTCTTGTCTCCAAGGTACGGAAGAAGATTAGTGCCACTGTGCAATTTCTTTCTTTTTTTAAATCTGAGAAAAAGTCAGAATTAGATAGATGGATTCCTGACATTAATCTCAGAATTCTGAAAATTTTCTTAGAATTCTGATTTTAATCT